AAGGACAAAAAAAAAAAAAAAACCTACTCCCCATGGGTCATGAATACCCACACTACGCACCGGCCCTGCAGTCCCGCCCACCCCAGTCAGGCTGATAAACACCATCCCCCTCCAGCAGGCACACTGAGTGTCCTCCCTGCCCTCCTGCTTCCTTCCCCGTACAGGGAGGGTAAAAACGGCCTCCAAGTGCCCCGACTCCAGCAATACTCCCATCTCCCACACCTCAGGCTCATTTGATGCCAATGCAATCTCTCTGCCACACATCTTCATTAACCCATCTTTTCTTTCCTTTTTTGTCGACGTTTGAGTTGAAATGCAAACCCACCCAGAGCTGTGTGCAGGGGCTGTTGTGTCCCTGAAGGAAGGACAAAGAGCACTCTGCATGGTGTGAAAAGAGACGAAGGCATCAGTGCTCCTGGATGCCCTCCGAGGGCTCGGAGACCACCAACCATCTGTCTGTCTGTCCTCCTCAGTGGCAACCTGTCACTTTTTAGCACTGACATGCTAAATGGGTTTTGCAGAAACCTAAGCTTCCTTAATAACATTTTAGATAGAAAAATGCATACTGAATTCTAAACTGACTCATCAATGGGTTTTTGAAAGGAGAGCTATTCCATAAGCTCAGGAGCACCTCACCTTCCAATACCACACATGCCTGCCAGTCACCCCCCAATTTTAACATTTCTATGACTTAAACTTCCTGGCATTTGCTCCCCAACTCGCTCAACCCTGATTCAACTAGATTCAGATAAAACTGACAGCACAGTTTATGTTTGCTCTTTTTTTCCCATTGCTTTGCTGACAACCATTTATCTTCAGCAGATGCCATCATCCCCACCACAATCACAGAGGGCCCTCTCTCTGTTCCCTGACCCTCAGGAGCAAGCCTCCAGGTCCAGGAGGAGGACTTCAGTCCTCAAGGTATGGCCAGGTATCTTCATAATGTCTCAGCTTACTTTCGTTATTGGCATCATTAGCTTTGTAATTTTTTAAAAGATGTCTAAATTTGCCAAGTGATGGGCTGCTTTGCTTTTCTACAAGTGATCACAACCCCCTGTCTCACTGGCGACACTGTATATCCAGCTACTGCATCTCACGACTCTGGCCCAGCCTCTGTCCCACACGTGCTGGGTGTGCAGAGACACTCAAGTCATGGGCTCTGCCCTCAGGCAGCTTACAACAAGCTGAGGGGCTGAGACAAGGCAAAACTCTGGAGGAGGAGTTGACCGGGAGAGGAGAGAAGCCAGTGTCCGCACACACCCCAGACCCACAAGGACGCCATTTTTGAGTCTTGACATACTTTGCCATCAAATCCTCATCGCTGAGCAGGATTTATTTTCCTGTGATAAAGTCTAGTTATAACACCCGATCCTAGTTCAATGTTACACTGAAATTTGTTAACTGAGGATAAATCAGCCACAAGTACCACTGTGACTCCACTTCTGAGCTGAAGAGAGGCTATAACACTATAAAAAAACTGGTCAGCATTGCCCTAAACAGCATTCCAGACAAATGTGCTCTTCCTATTAGCTCAAGTGGCAGGGGACAGGGAGGTGAGAGGAAAACCCAGGGGTCTTCTCACTGAGATTCCGGAGCAGGGTCCATTTCCCAGAGGACAGAGCTGGAAGGAGCGGAACAGGGACACCAAGTTACCCCGGCCCCTGGATGCTGAGACTGAGGACCGTTCACCCACTTTACAGGAAATGGACTTCATCACAGGAGATACCACCGTGTTCTAAGTTATTTCCTTGGGCTTTTGGTTCAAAAGCAAAAACACTGTGAACATGCATGAAATAAACCCCTCACTGCCATGTTTGCAAACCTCTCAGCTTCCTGATCGACCAGTGGCTTTAACTGTCTGTACAGACAGAAGGGGGCCTGTGAGGCTCCTGGGTCACACTCACTAAACCACAGAGCTCAAGGGGCAGCTCAATCACTGTTGCTAAGCGCACACTGTACAGCACAGAAGCACCACGCGGGCCCGTGTCAGGGCTTCCCTCCTTTCCCTGCAGACCTGCCTTCCAGCCTTGTTGCTCCTCTGTAGACAGGGCGGGGCAGAGAGGATGGAGGCAGGAGGTGTGAGGCATTGGGCGGCCATCAGCACAGCTAGGGACATGCCCGGGAGCTCTCTGGGTGCAGCAGGAGCCTGGAGCTCATGGGTCATGCAGTGGCACAGGCAGCTGCAGGAGTACATCAGGAAAACTGCTGGTGCTGAAGTATTTCTAATCGCCCCTCCATAGGAGCTGCCATCAGTGGAAGGGTGCGCCTGGCATTCTGCCAAACACAGATGCTGTGTGCACCTGCACTCCCTAGTGTCCCTGCCTACAGCTGCTAAGGAGCCATTGCAACATCGCCCCTGTGCCTCGCTCCTCTAGCTCAGCCACTGGCCCACTGAAGGGAGGGCCTGGGGCTTCAGAGTTCCATCGCCACTTCCTTGCACACACCCAGCACTCCACAGGTCACAGCGCCTCACCATGCTCAGGCCATCCATGGGATGCTGTCAGAGCAGGTAGTGTGTCCATTTTGCAGAAACACATGGAGGCTTAGGTAAGCCAACAAGGGGATGAATAGAATCAGTAATTATGAGACCAAATTTGGTGCCCTATGTTCTGTAAAGGGGAGTTAAAAAAATCCTCAAGACAACCTGACGACATATACTTAAATGACCCTCCATCCACTACACTGCCCTGAAAGGCGACCTTCAAACATGTGGCCACCAGTGCAGAGCACCAGCTGGCACACAGGCATGCTGAGCAATCGTGGCCACATCTCTCATGATGACTGACACAAGGCAGAGAGAATTCCCAAACCTGGAGCCTACAAGAAACCTTGCTGCCAGGCTTATGGCATTGTGGGGAGAAGGCCCCGCTCCCTGCTCCTTGGCAACACTCTGGCTTTGGCCACAAAGAAAGCACCTTCTGCCCTCTAGGGAAGTGCTCAGGAGGAACCTTCCATCCCTTTCCACCTCCACTCTTGCAACTTTGTCTCACGAAGGCTTTGGATGCCATGCATGTCCTTTGATTCCGTGACAGCAGTCATCTGCACATATACCTAGGAACAGTGTGTTGCAGCAGGTCTCAATTAGCCAAAATTCATTCCACCATGAAGCATACCTACCATCTGGGTCTTTAAAGGTCAACGTGATGAACTTGCTAGCCACCATGAACATGAAAATCACCCAAAAGCATGCGGCCAACAGAAGCCACTGGTGGTGCATGTTGTTAAATGTCAGCCATTCCACAGTTCTTCCTGGAAAACACAAGCAGGATGTTACTTACAACTAAGTCAATTAAACAAAAAGTAATGAAGAGAACGGATGCCTTGAGTTAACAGTATCCACGCAAATATTTTCATCACTACAATGGGTATTTTGACTTGGCATTGAATTTAACATTTCATTTTTAATTAATAATGTTAAATGATGGATTTAATAATTCAATCAAACTGAAAACACCCTCACGAAGGGGAGCGATAATGAGAGGATGCATCTCTACTTGTTCTTGGAACGTGGGGTGAGACTTCACTTTTGCAGATTTGCTGCCTGTTGGGCCCAGGCTCATGTCACAAGGCACTCCCACGAGGACCTGAAAGCAGGCAGGCAGGCAGGAGGCCTGCCGAGGACTAGGCTTTTGCTGCTGGGGTAAGTCATAGAGGGCAGAGCCATGCTGACACAGTGACCAGCACACTGTGGGTAAAATCCTGACGGTAGCCACACCTAGAGAATCTCTAAAATAGCAAAGAAGTGAGTACCATGCTTCTCACCTCTGCTCACTTGCCTGTGAGGGTCTGCGCAGAACCCTGGGGGCGGGTGTTTTTCATGTTATCATAACCAGGAGTGACACAGGGCACATCAGTCCTCAGCCTGTCACAGAAGTCACATTCTGCTGCAGGGGACAGAAAGAACCAGAAAGTCACCAACAGTCCTCAGCAAGACAGACAAAAAAAAAAGTATGTTTCATTTCACCTTTAACACAGTGCTTCTTCATGCCAAATCAGACTGCTTAAAGGGGCACACTGGGCTAGACTGGTTTCCTGCAGTGGGCTGAGGCCATGCATCACTTCTAGGCAGCTGAGAGAGTGTCCCCTCAACACAGCACTGATGGGGAGCGATTTCAGAGAGAGCTTCCCAACCCTGCGTGGTCAGAGCCAAGCAAGCCCTTGCTCAGTAACACTGACATCCTAGAATCTCATGCGGGCCAGGCATCTGAAACCTGGATTCCCCCCACCCCACCCACCAAGCGATTATTTGGCCCACACCTGGTTACAGCCTGTAAGGGGCGCTCCCCACCTGCCCAGCCGCCTGTGCCCACATGTAAGGCTCAGTGTGTTTCCTGGGGTCCCCAAGCAAGGTTGCCAGATTAAACAAATAAAAATACAGGACACTCAGTTAGGTTTAAATTTCAGGTAAACAACAAATAATTTTTTGTAGTATAAATATGGCCCACATACTGCATGGGATATACTTATAGTAAAAAAAGTATATTTAGTATATTTTTTATGTAAATAAAAGAACAAGTACCCACCTGGCCTGGTGCAGACCGTCAATAAAGTTAAGTTGGTCAGTCCCTCGGCGCCCTCTGTGACTTTCTGGTTTAACCTATAACCTGATAAATGTGGTGGCCAAAAATTAACACAGCAGCACGGTCAGCCCTAAGAAGAGAGGAAAAGAAAGGACAGACAGGACAGACACTCATCCCAGGTGACTACTAACTTTTCCCTTTTATTTTTTGTGTGCTTTTGTTTTGTTTTATTTTTTGTTTTGTTTCTGGCCAGTACAGCAATCAAATCCTGGACCTTGTTGTTCATCAGCAACACACTCTAACCAACTGAGCTAACCGGCCAGCTTATCTTCTCCCTTTTAGAGGCAATTGGTGCGTAGACTGTGCCCAGAGGACACAAGGCCCTGCAGTCCTGAGTCCACTGAACTTGTCTCTCTGAGATGACGACAATCAGAGGGGTCTGTCCCCATCAGTCACCGTGGGCACACCCTGCTGAGAAACCCCAGCAGGAGTCCTTTTCTAGTTGAGGCACAGAGGGGCCAGTGTGGGTTAGGGAGGAAGTAAAGAGAGTACAGACAGGTACCAAGCAGGTTGTACGCAATTCTCCACAGAGAGGGCCCTGCTCTGAGTGGCCCGAGGCTTGCAACCCATACTACCCTAGGATGAGCACTGTGGGCAAGTGGACATAGACAAGGGTGGCTGCCTGGACCTGCTCCCCACGCACGCAGACTCGCTTACCTACGGAGCAGGTGGCGGGAGGCTCTCCTGGCACTGCCCACTCTCTGCTACCAGCTCCACTGGCTCACTGCGTACCTCTCCGCTTCCCGGCCCCTGAGCACCCTGGCCCAGGCACAGGCTGGCTCTCGGGAGGTTTCATAGCTTAAGAATCTAATCTTTCCAATGGGAGTTAGTCTTCTGAAGGACCTAATTTGAGTCTGCCCACCTAGATAAAGTAGGAAGACAATGAGTGAATAGCCTTACCTGAAAATGAAGATCGCCTCATCTGCTCTTCAAGAGCCAGGTGGCTCAGGGGCAGGATTTCTACACCTAGGCCCCACTGCACTGTCCTGAAGCCATGCCTGCCTTCCCAAGTCTCGGCTTTCCATGTAAAGTCAGGAGTTCTTAGATTCCTTCCCCCAGCCTGGAGGCTGGGATTGGTCTGTACCCCTCCTCTCCCTAGATGGGTGGCCGAGGATTTGTCAGTGACAGCTCTTCTTCTCTACAGCATAAAACAGCCACCTGCACACCCATCAGTATACTGTCAAAATAGCTCCTCAGCAATCAGACAACTTACGAGTCTATCTTCCAACATGTTCTTTCAGATGGGAATTTTCTTTTCAAAAAAGTTCAACTTCTAGCATGACTTCTGTAAACTCCTACAGAACTGAGACATCTAGAGAGGCCCTTCCCTTCCCAGCCTGGCCACTGCACGGGTGCTGGAAAAAGGTCAGCCGGCAAGGCTCCCGTCTGCCCCCTACCCGCTTCATGGCACCGAAAGGCGAGCCTATTACTGTACGTAGGTCCAAACCGTACAACAGATCAGTCAACAAAAAAGGCAAGCTGCAGGACTGAATGTATAATCCTATTTGTTTAAACAAATTATGTACATACAAGATTTCTTTGTTTTTTTGTTTGTTTTGTTTTTTGGTGGCTGGCTGGTACAGGGATCCAAACCCTTGGCCTTGGTGTTACCAACACAACGTGCTAACCAAGAAAGCTAACCAGCAAGTTACAAATTATATATATATGAAAGTTATGTGATTATATATACATGCACACACACACACATATATGTAATGTACAGAATAAAATCCCGAGAGGCTAGGGAGGGGTCATATTTTACTTTACATACTCCTGTGTTTTACAAAAAGCTTTTGCAATAAGCATTTATCCTTCCCATTGATATACAGAAAATGCCACCTCCATCCGTGTACCCTGGTGTTTTTATTTCTGCTGCTTAATTTTTTCTACCTCACTACTACCAGCTGCAGTTTCTCTACCATTATAGACAGTAAATACCTTTCTAGCCAGGAAAAAATATAGTGAACTGATAAAGCAAATGTATATCTGAATATTTAGTACATACATCTTTGCTTCATTAGTTAGCTCTTATTTAGTTTTAAAAAACAACTAAATATTTAAACCATAAGGAAAAGTGCAGACAATAATATAACAAATATCTATTTACATATGCTAAGCTCTGATAGTTTTGCTGTACTTACTTGAGTTTTTTTGTAAGGAAATAAAGTGTTATACGTATAGCTGGAACCCCTCACACCCCGCCCTACCTCCCTCCATCCCCAGAGCTCCCCAATCACCCTGGTGATGGCACTTCCACGACATCAGATACAACTCCTCTGACAGAAGCAGCAGCGGGCTGTTTAGGAAGGTGGTCTTCCCTACCCAGACAAAGCCAGGGCTTACTGGGGGACGTGGAAAGGTGAGTTTACCCAAGGCCTGCAAGGAAACATTGCATTACACATGGCTCCTTTCTAGAGAGGCACGTGCTGGGTGATAAGGCCTGGTGTGGAGGGATGCACAATATTTAAGCACTTAACTTTTTTTCGCATGGACTACAGTGAGCAAATTCACAAACCATACATAAGCTTGTGAAAAAGCTGTCAAGGTAACCTTGGTTACAAATTTAGGTAAACTGGTAAACTGGGACTTGTTCTCCAAGTCACGTTCTGTGGGAGCCAATCAGGCTGCAGGCTGACTCCCCTCTCAAAACCCCCACCCCCTCAGGTCCAATGTCTCTACAACACTCAAACATGAGCAGATGTATATTTGCACATATGTTTAAGGACAAAATTATCTAAAAATAATTACTTGCCAAGTTCATCACGAAAAGGTGTATTCATTCATCCAATAAAACAGACACCAAGAACACAGCAGTGAGTCCCAAAACAAACACACACACACAGGTCTTGCAGTCTAACGGAGAGGCCCACATGGATCTAAAAATCTATTGGAGAAGGCATAGGAGTGAGAGGGACATGTGTCGGCAGGAGAAAATACTGCAGGGACAGGTGCTGGGCAGAGAGAACAGCAGAGTTACCTAAGCTGTGGAAGGCAGGGTTCCAAGGCCAAGGGACAGGACCCTGAGTAACTGAGCAGGACTGTGTAGCTGGGGTTTCCAGAGCACAGTCAGAGATGAGGCAGCCCAAACGTGGGCCAGACAACGTAGGGCCTTCCAGAGCTGTTGTGGAATTTAGTTTTCCCCTTGCAAGCAATGGAAAGCCACGGAAGAGAGCTTCACATGAAGACAGGAGTAGGGTGTCATGATCTGATTTAAATTTTGAAACAATTTCTCTGGCTCAGAAGTCAAAGACGCAAGGAGAAAATGTCCATGCAGCAACTGCCCCGTCTCAAGGTCATTTTCATTCGTGGAGGAGGGAGTACTCTAACCAGGCACAAGAAAACCCAGCCAGGTGCTCCCCATCACCACATCATCGCCACCTAGGTCTCCAGAAACCAGCAAATCATCCACAATATCTGCTATGTTGCCTTTTGATGAATCCTAAAGAGTGGTGCGTCCAGCTAACCGTGGTGTGATCTGCTTTGAGATTAATGCATTCCAAATCCAGACCTGATGGTGTCTGACTTTATGTCTAGGATAGTGGTTCTGAGCCCTGGCCGTACATTAGAATCACCCAAGAAGCTTTTAAGACATACAAGGGTAGCAATACCCTGGGTCGCTAAAATATCCCAGCCAAGACAACACAAATCTCTGGAGGTGGCACTTAGGCATGTTTTAAAAGCTCTGTAGGTAATTCTAATGAGCAGCTGGGTCCAAGCCCCCAGCCCTTCGCAAATGTTAATGCCCACATGAATCCCCTGGGGATTTTGTTAAAAGGCAGATTCTAGGCATTCTTGCATAATAGCCATTCTCCCACCACTTCTTTCCATTTTAAGAAGGAAAATTGGCAGCAAAAGAGCATCTAGTCCAGAGAGTCTACTGACGCTCTGAATTTCATGTGTTCTGCCTCAACAACTTAAAGAGGTTCAATTAAAATCTAAGACCTCCCATCACTGCCCCCATTTCACTGTCTTCTAGCCCTCCTATTTACAGGTAACTAGATTCTGTAGAATTAGGATTTGTCTCACCTTGGAAAAAACCATGATAATTTGTCCCATTTTTTACACAAAAAGAAAGGCATTCCAAATTCACTAAACCCCAGCTCCTGTAAGCCTGCCCCATTCTCTGCATTGCTTCTTTGAATACAGTAGTTCTCCATGGGGTCTGTCACCTGTCCAAGGATGACACCATCAAGGGTCGTGATCTGCAAGGAGCCTGGGACCTGACAGGAACAGCCCTTTCTCCAGGGCTTTGCTACAGCCTTTGAAAAACCTGACATTTTCTGCAATTAACTCCCCTTTGTTCAAGAAGCTTGACGACCCCCACAGTGCCTCCTGCAGTTAATCTTGGTAGCAAACCTGAGTGCCCCGCATCCCCCCAGTCATGGTACGCTGCCTGAACAGAGCCCCTGGCACCCCAGGAATCAGCACATCTGTCTTCAGAGTTTTCCTACTTCCAGATATTAAATGAGATTTTCAGATGTCAGGATGCCTGGATCTGAAACCAAGCCAGAGGGTTGGGCTCTCTGAAAACCCATGAGGCAGAACTGGTAATTAAGGAACTTCAGTCCTTATGGGGAAAATAGGGTCTGAAAAGCGAGAACATAGCTGAACCGGCGAGAAGCTCTCATCTTTTTTTCCCCCTCTCTCTCCCTAAAATAAAACAAAAACACCACACATTTTACATGTCTGTAATGACTAGTAATGGATATGGTACTCTTACCATCTTTTGATGCAAATTTTCCCTCCCCTGCATTTTGAAAAAGATGCTTGGAAATTCATTTTGCTCAGCTGCCAGTAACATTCCTGCCAGCAGCTTTTGCCCTGAGTTTGAGGTGTCCGTCCTCCAACAGCACAAAGCCTTTCTCATTTCTTACTCTGTGGTGAAGAGTCGACTCCCACCTGCCATTCCCTACTTTTATTATGCAAAGTCATTTGTTAAAGGTTCTGAAAAGTCCTGTGGTAAATAAGCCCACATAACTCTGTTTACACACCTTTTTTCCAAACGTCATTCATTCATTCAGCAATTTTTACCAAGTGCCCACTCTGACCCCTCAGCACCACACACT